TTATTACTTTAAATAAAAAGTTCATAGTATTTAAGTATAATCATCAATATCACTTTTACAGTAATTATAAAGTACAGAAGACCTAGTACATATTAAACTTAACCAAAACAATTGTTGCACTGCCTATTACTAAACAAGAAGATAAAAGTATTAATTTCTATTATTACTTTCCTTCTGTACTAATTCCTATATTTGAACTTATACTGGAATCACTTGAGCAACCTCCATACATAAACATTTTTGGTATATCTTGACCATAGTAAATTTTTGTATTTTGCGCTACCCCTTCATACTTCTTCAGTTCTAAATATTCTTTAGTAAGAAGCAGCTTGTTTGCCTCTGCTTGTATTTTCATTTCATAATACTTAGCATCAGAACGACTTTTTTCTCTTGCTAAATGCATTTCATCCTCAATTGCTGCTATTCGTTGCAACGATTCCTTTTCCATTATTTTCTGATCATACTGTATTTTTGCTACTTGTGCTTCTTTTTCTGCTTCAATAAGAGCCTTTTTTCTATCAGTTTCCGCATCTTTTTCAACTACTTTTTGATGCTGTATGGAAATTAAAAGCTTTGTTTTCTCTGCTTCCCTGTAGCAGTATATATACATATTTTACTTGTAAAATTAACAATATTATTTAAATATTAGTTTAAGTTTATACTTACATTAATTCATAATTTTTTCTAATACTTTCTGGAATTTTGGGCTTAGTAACTCTAACTGCATGAATACTTAAACCAGGTGCTAAGTCATTTAAATCCTTTTGTAAAGCAGTTTTCAAATTTTCATCTATTTGATCAAACAAGTCTATGTATACCTCATGTAATGTATGCACTGAACAGAATTGATTTAATTCATGATGGATCTTATTAAATATTAATGTTTGATCATAATCTGCTGTGAAGTTCTTTACCATGTTGTACACTGGATGATTAAAAAATTATTAATGTAGGATATTGCAACAATTTATAATTTCAATTCAATAATTATAAATGTATAATGAGTAAAATTATTACCACTATTTGCATCTAATATATTTACAACTTCTATACGATCAAAATAAATCATCACACCACCACTTGTACCACATGGAACATTTTTTACTTCATCTGTTTGCAATGTAACTTGAACAGAATGGTATGTTGTGAATACAGGTATCATCATATGAAATCCAGGATTGCTTACTTGAGGCAATAATGCACCACCCTATATCATATAATAAATATGTTCATAATATTTTAGATCATATCATTGCCTACTTATAAACATTACTTACTCTAAAATAAACACCAACATGACCTTCTTCTATACGGTGCAAGGAAATGTTAAAAAGTACTGTTAAGAAGAGACTGAAACATATTCCAATAATGTTTTGGTCGAACATACTATTTATTTGCTGAAACAGAGAAATATTATAATGTATACATTACAGAAATTAATAATCTGTTGTATATTTGAACACGTTCAATTTTATTAATATCATGTTACACGTATAAACAATAATCGTCGTAAAATTTATTTATAAAACACTAATATTTTGTATATTTGTCATATTGTAGAGGTTATATTACAAAATTTTGTAAACTTTTAGAATATTACCTGTACTTGCCACAGCAAATTAGTATATTAGACAGCAATAAACTTGTAAATTTAATTCCTCAATGAACAAAATTTTAATACTTTATATTTTTTCTCGAACTCATGTTACATACATACATATATTGATAATTAAATAAATTTTTAAAAATTTCCTTAAAACGTTGCTAGTCCATACATGCTACATATATATCGTATATCATAATATTGTCCAAAGTAACTAGAAATTTATAATCACTAAGGTAAGACAACCTCAAAGGAAGAGGAAAATGTAATTTATGAAAAGGTAATAATAACCTTTAACGTTTCTAAATGCAATTAAAGAAGGATAAAAACAGTAATTATGAGAGTCTAGTCGAATAACAGAAAGGATAACACAATTTATTCCGTCAAAATATTTAAACAATATGGTAATATTTTTGAACTCTAGTTGTAATCGTATAACGTTTAAAATAGTATAAAATCGCATAAGATTTTCATTGCCTAAGTTATTAATTTTAATGTCATGTTTCTTTATTTAAAAAAGGTAATAAGAATTAATTTGATAAACACTTTTTTTTTTTAAATAAAAAATCGACATGTTCCGGTATTTAGTTTCGCGTAGTAAATTTAAATGGCGTGTTTACTTTTTATTAGACTTATTCTTCTGTAATTTCTTTTTATCACGACCACGCGTATCCTCGGCAGTACTAATCGTTTTAACGTCGACTATATTTTGATTTAGTGCCTTCAATTCTTGCAGTGCTCGTTTGGCTAATTTTCCTTCTGGCGTATCTGCTGGTTCCAAAAGGAGCATAGTTAGAGACTTCTTCAAGAGACTTCCAGCTTCTTCGAGGCGTGAAGCCAATTCTACCGAAGAAATTTCCCGCGCAGAATACGCACGGTTCGCCAACAATACTAACGGTAAGTGCATTTCGTATAGCATTATTCCTAAAATCATCTTTTATATCAATATAGTATCATATGGTACTAGTATTAAATTAGTACTTAACCAAATTTATTAACATCAAATTAAAATTCGATTACCACTATACTTTACTGTTTCTTTATAAGCTGCTATCGTGAAATAAATCGAAGAATATAAACTATTCAATAGAAAGTACCTTTCAATCGAGATATTCCTGGCTCAACTATCTCCAACACATTAAACATCTCTCTGCACATATCCAGCATTTTTTGCATCATTTTTTTCTTCGGATTTGGTGTTGCCACTTCCTTTCTATACGCAGCCAGCAATTTTTGCTTTAACGACAGCATTAAATAATGATTCGGATGAAATGATCTCGATAATTTGGTCGTTAAATTTTCTAGACCCTTGAAAACGATCGTTCAAAATCAACAAAACATACATTTTTCAAGAACGACAGAATATCGTCAAATTTTCAATTAATTACGAACTTTAACATCGTATTCGTCCGTTTCGTCGATTAACGTTCTGGTTATGTTCAAAGTAGCTCTCACAAGACGACCACCGATGGATCTTCTACATCTGTCGCATTGCCATTTGGTGCCTTTTTCGTACGGAAAATTTGTTAGAGGGTTTTGCATTCCTATGTAACCCTCTCTGCATCGTGGACACAGAATGCAGCTCATATACGATTCCATTTCGTAAGGATCTCTGCATAATGAACATTCACACACGAAGTACTTCCCTGTACGCAAGTGTTCTCGTCTACCTAACGTTCCCTAATAACGAAACGCATAAAAGTGATCAATATTTCTTTTTTTTTTTAACCAAAGGGTAATAAAATTTTCATTGATCAAACAGAGAGAGAGAGGAGCCAAATGTAAGAAACTTGTTAAATTCTCGTTCTTTTAAACTTCTATTATAAATCATGATTTTTTTTTTACCACGAAATGTGTTAATAATTATCGGAAATTTTGTATAGAGAAGGTTTCCTGCGTTTCCTATGGCTTATAGCGTGGAAATTTTAGAACGAACCAAAAGTGAAGAGGTATAATTGAAGAAAATCACTTCGTCCTCTTTAATAGGCAGACTGGCATAAACAGTGAGCTGAAAATCGTTGTCCACAGTTAAGTGAGTATTTCCCCTGCAGTCGTGAGCCATCAGGGAGGCTTCCGCATATAAACCACGTAAAAGAAGCCCATCTAGACCTCCCGGAGATCTCAGCTCGAAAGTATTAACGTCTAAAATTCCGCACAGCTGTTGTAGAAGCTCTGCGATGGATGGATCGTCTTCAGGGATTAAATTTAGCGATGTCATTACCTTGTGACAAAGAATATCACGATTCGTAGTAAATGTTAATATTCTCATTAGAAATTAATTAAGTTCTTTCCACTGTCTACTTTCCTATTTCACTTACATTTATCACATTTACTTCTCTGTCCTTCCAAACCGAAGTATTTCTTCTCACGTCTACGTGAGATTCCATAGATTGTACACGTCTCCATAATTCTGGATCTCTCTGCTTCAGAAGCCATAATCTCAGGGGCAACAAAACCCCGATAATACTCTCTAAACTACTGGTCCATAGATCTTTAGTACTTTTGAAGATTTCACATTCGCCTGGTGTATGATGCTTCGGTTCTTTCTGAAAAATAAAATTTATCAATGAAACAATGTCCAAGGTGTCTAAAAAAAAAAATATATTTTCTTTTCTCTGCTAGAAAATTGCATTTGAATAAAATGCTCGATTTATTCTCGAATTTATTACCTCGCAGTTAACGTTGCACAAGGGTGCAATTTTGCATTTCGAGCAAACGTACAGCGTTTCTCTTTTGATATTCGGTAACAAACGCAAACAGGCGAAGCACAAGAAATCTTTGCTAGAAGTTAGCGGACCGACAGCGATCGGTTTTTCTCGGAGTATCACCTCGCCGGCTGTTAGATTCTTCGCCGCCTTTAAATACCTTGAAAAAAAGAACAATACACTGCGTACTTCAAAGCACTTAGAGACGCAACTATATCCATCGCAAATTTAAAGAAAGAAAAAAAATCAAAGAATTAAAGATGTGCCTAATAAACTGCGTTGTTTATTATCGAAAGGGCGTGTATCAATTTTGTGTCAAAAATAATAGATCTCCCTTCGTACAGTTTGGCCAAGTTTCTTAGCTTTCAACGAAACAGGAAATTCGATTAATGTAAAAACATTGAAAATATTCAAAAATGTATCTCAAATGAACACGTTGAGTTACAGCTAATGAGAGAAATTAAATAAAAAATATTAAAGTATTATTTGCTAGCCTAGTTTTTTCTTTTACAATGCTTTCAATCAGTAGATCTAAGCGTTGACAGACAATTTCTTCTAAAAAGCAACAGGTTTATTATTGAAAGGACGCAAGCCACATCTTATTTTAGCCCATCTCCCTTTCTCCATCTATGAATTAACTCAAGTGAATGTTTGACCATATACAAAATCAGTTTCTCGAAATAACTGTAATAAAAAAAATTTGCACAACATTTAAATAATTTTCGCGACGTCTGACCTTTCGATAATTAATTCGTTCAATTATTCAATCATTTTTGCGTTTTGACGAGGATTAAAAATATAATCCAAGGATTTATCAATACGATACTGCCAATGAACGTATGTATGCTATTTTAAAATTCCTATAGATATACGCGATTACGATATAATTAATTAAACCGGATGTGATTTGTATGTTTATACCTGCCTAGTTTCTCCGAGCGAGCAACTTTGTACTTTAACGTGGGACTAGCTGGGTTCCTCGGCTTTCCCTCCGTCGTCATATTCCACACGAATGATTTCACGGATTCTTTGAATGAAATCTACCGATTTCATACGATACCTAGACCCGTGAGAGTCTCGTGGTATCGTGCATTTCCTACGGTCCGTAACTGACACCGAAATACAGGAAGTTGTAGCGGGAGCCGTCTCTCTTTGGTACTCCCGATACGCTATATTATTAGAAATCGTAGCGTAGCGCGTGCTTCTTCGATGCTCGCGACAAAACAGTGCTACATTGTATCGGAGAGTATAACAATTACAAGATTATCGACATTCTTCGTAATTTTCCTCTTCCTTGATCTTTGCGCGAAATTTCGAATTCCATCGATTCGAACTTTAACACGAGCAAATGTACAGGATGTCTTCAAATTGGTGGTGTCATTTAAAAAGGGATGAATCTGTATGAAAATATAAGTCGAAAATGTGGAGTATCTTTTTTATCGTACGAAGCTTCGTTTCTAAATAAATCGACGTTGAAGATTTGTCGAGTTAAAGTTATCCCATGATCTCACTTACGCCTGCGTCCAACGAATTTTACTGAAAACTACTTGTATCACTGTTTTTGGGTTTGTTACAGTAGATAGCGAAGGAGAAATAATGAAATAAAGTACATTGTTCACTGCGTATCTTGGTGTTAACATCGATGGATCTGTACTTATAGAGCCAAGTCGAGTTTCTTGGGCACCGAGACGAGAATGCAAGTAGGGAAGAGTTGAAAGAGAAAATTATTCTTGCATTGGAACATTTGAAAACTGGAAATACCGTAGAAAATGTTCACAGAAGTGTTTTCTTCCACAGAAGAAAAATTGTCAATCTACATTTTCGACTTGTTTTCTTGATCAAAGATGAAGAAGGAAAAATTCGTTTGTGAAGAAAATTAAGATAGTATTTTTTTGTATCGATGAAGTGACAGTACGATGGTCCACAATTTAGTTGTGTATATATTTATTAATATTACATACGATCTTACATACGTTTATTAAGAAAGAAGCACGTCCGCACAAAGTTTCGCTCATTTGCAATAAATATTTATAAATTATTGATCGATTGCTCAAGCTGAACTAGAGATTCTTTAGCGACGATGCCTATTTGTCCTTCGGCCGTTTCTGGCGGTTCTAAACATAAAATTGTCGCTGCTTCCTTTAAAATATTCGAAGCTTCTATCATTCTCGATTTCAAGGCAGCCTCATCAATCACTCCGGCGTTCCATAGAGTTTTCGCGACGAAGAGGAGAGGTGCATGAAGTTCGTACAACGTCATTCCTGTGATAGTAAAAATTAAATATTCCCATATTCGTTAATTTAATTATAACTCTGTATAAATATTTCAAAGAAGAAATTGCACTAGTATTAAAAAAAAAAAAGAAAAATAAGAAAACTAATAGATAATTATAAATCTTTACCTCTGATACGAGAATAGCCAGGTTCTATGACGTCCAACACTTGAAGTAGTAATCTGCACATATCGATTTTGTGCTCTAACACGACATCCGGCAAATCGTCTAAGAGATATTCGTCGACACGACCGTACATTTGCGTCAACGAGTGTCTGAAAAGTAAAATTAACATTCGTAAAATTAGGCAAACGTCGAAATTTTCATCAATTACGAAGTATCTGTAAGAATAGCAAAATTTAAAAATTAAAAGATTTCATTTATGAAAAAAAAAACAAGCTTAAGACGAAATTCCATTGAAATGAATAATTTGGGTAAAATTGAAATTTTCTTCAGCGCCGCTGATGGCTTCCACTGCATCCACATCCGCCTGCATAATTTGCAATACTTTTCGTACAGCTGCTCCCTTTGTCGTGAATTCACAATGAGTGCATTTCCACGAGCTGTCAGGATCTGTAATATACATTACGCGATCGTTTCACTTACGATTAACTTGCATGATAATACTTGGAAGTTTACATTATTCGAAACTGTCACCGTTTACAAGATACTTACCCAGAGAATCTAAAGATAGTACGATTCCATTGTCACACTTGTTACATTTCAACGAGGACATATGTGTACCAAGTTCGGTGGGATCGGAACATCTCGCACAGGCACAAGTAAAGTGTTTTCCCTCGAGAAGATGTTCCCTTCTCAGCATTGTCGGAAGTAACGAATGAGTATAACTTGCATAAAGTTCACCGCCTGGAGAAACTTTGATGGTGGTTCTCACTCGTATTCTGAGGATAAAATGAAACGTTATGTTAATGTTTTTCTACGTAAAATATTTAACTATGGCAATAAGACGACGATTCTTCTAAGAGCTATCGCGGGATATTCGGATTAAATTGAAATAAAATACCTTTCGTTAAAAACGATAGTTGTACAACTGAAATTTATTAATTATTCGAATCATTTTTTGAAAATAACATTTTCCAAGCGGCCCTCCTCGATTGAAACAAGAATACATTCTTGTAATCGGAAAATTCTCCATTACTCGTCGCATCGATTGCTCGAATTTTATCAGTTACTTTGTGCGGTTTGTTGACATAATTATTGACACTGTGATTACGATAATGTTACTTTCAAAAAATAATAGAACAACTAAATTAATTATTAGTAATTATTTTTTAAATAGAAGTGTTTCAATTTAACCTGAATATTCCACAATCGTCGCATTCTGTTAAGGTGAAACGGGAAAGTACCTTTTGGTACTGAAGTGAAAGATTTTGCCAGCACCAATTAACTGAGTAACTCGTGTTAATTACTATGGAGCCTAAGTAATTTATATTTTACCTGTAATCAACCGGTGAAATGCTGTGACATGTATTAGAGATGCATGAATGATTCATTAGAGCTACCGTTGGATAAAGTGCTCTCGCGGCATAACTGGTCTCTGTTCGTACTTCGAACGTATTGATTTCCAGAATTCCGCACACTGTTTGAATGAGTTCCTCTGAAAATCTGTCGTAAAAAGGGCAAAGAATAAATTGGAAACGCGGAGGAATTAGGTAAAAGGAGTGATAAAGAAGCATTGTCCTTCCTCAAACGATAATCACCTGTCCAATTTAAGTCTATTCCTTATGTACTCGACAACATTCACTTGATCTGACTTCCAGTGCGCCTTTTGGCTTCTTATCTTATTGTGCGCTTCCATGTTCTTCACTTCGTTGTTCCACGTTTCAGGACTTTTCTCCGATTCCAACAGTAATCTTAACGGAGTTATGCATTCCAATTGCGGGACTCCGTTTTCGTTGGTCTCCTCTAAAGCAGCTTTTACGTCAAATTTCTCGTTTGCTTGTACGAATACCTGTGAATAATATTTGATATTCAACGCGAAGGAAAATCGCACCAGTTGTTGAATAATTCAATTTTTCACTTTCTAGATTTATCACGTTTACTTCCATTTCTATTTTAACATGTTACTATACGCGCAATAATGAACAAATCAGCAGTAATTACAACAGTTTTTACTTTCTATCCAAGTAAATTTTCTCTTCTACTTTTGATAGATTCTTACCTGACATTCGTAATCTTTGTGCTGCGGTTGATTTTCACATTCTTCGGAACAAACCGGCCAACCACATTTCGTACAGAGATATTTAGCGTTCACCCTTGATGGCCATGGTGTGTAACAAGAAAGACACAAGGGGTATGAGAACGCCTTTGGTCCGACAACGAAAGGCATCTCCGTGATAATTTCTTCGCCCGGTTGCAATTCTTTGTTCGCCACCATGTATCTGAAGAAAAGAGAGAGATATTTTCAAGAATTCGCAAAATTAGCGTATCTGCTAATTTCTGAAATTCTGATTAATAAAAATTTCACGACGATTCATTTTACGTACCGTCCCACCCTGTCATTTTTTAGAATTTTGTACGTAGTCGAGCTTTTTACCTCCACCGTTGACGGTCCCTAATTAAGGTAAATTTATTTATTAGTAAAATGATATTCGAGTTGTTGAAGTGTCATGTTTACACGTGATATAAATGTGCATTAAAATTATCTTCGTGCAATGCGCAAACAGTATTATCGTATGTGTTCTATAGTTGCAGACATATGGACGACGAATCAATTTGGTACACTGATTTCGCAAGCTTGTACGTACGTTTCGTACTATAGACTGTTTTCTTGTTGCTTTTTTAATAATGAGCAGCAACCGATTAGCGTAGACTTTGTCTATTATAGGAGTATGACGCGAAAGTGTAGTATACTAGATGCAAACGGTATAAAACTCGGCGTAAAACTCACTTATACCTAACAAATTAATTGGTAAATTGAATCGTGTCTTTTGTCATTTAGTAACAGATATGAAGCATATTATTTTCAAATTCAAAATGAATTATAGATCATTTAAAATAATTTTTAAGTATAAGAAAAAGATAACTGTATGGAATTAAGAATAAAATTAATATTCGCAGGAAATATATTTTATTAATCAAATCTATCACATACCGAGCTTTGTTGAGACATAGTTGATCAACGCTCAATCAATATTAACACCGAAATAATTTCAAAGAGTTCGCTTGTATTGCGCGCTTTCTTCACCCTCAAATCGAATCCTGCGATCCACGAATGCGGAAGCTCACAGATAGACTGAAAATTTAAATCTGTGCGCTCGATTATATATATATATGTATATATAAATGACTTATTAAAAATATACTATTCACGCAGACTGCCAAAGGTATGCTCTAAACCGTGCTAGCCACCCATCGTCTTTCGTGAAGAGTCTTCGCTCGCGTAGAAACTATGACCGCGCATTACATTGAGCTACCTGATCTATTTTCAGATCTTGAAATGTACAGAAAGATCCAACAACTTCGACAACTCCGCGAGATAATCGGAAAATTAGAGTACTTTTCGTTCTCTATGGCTAATCAACGCTTATCGAGTTATAGGTTTGATAATTTTCCATTCCACCCTTGATACATGTTATTATCTAACGAAAGATTGGATCAAAAGTTCAACGGGATGGATCGAAAATGTAAAGGTTGTCGGGTTTAAGTAACTTCTAGAATAGTGGATATTTCTGGTCATGTATTTTAGCACGACATTATTCTTGGACGTCGAAATTCTGGAAAAACTGCATCGACATCTGGTTCTTTGAATTATAAATTTGCACAGGAGGAATAAAAAAGTTTTGCGATTTGTATATTTAATAAAATAATCGAATACTCGTAGTAATATAGTTTTGCAAGTACAATATATCGAAGAGTGTGATTTGTAAGGTGGGAAAAATACATAAATCTCTCATTTTTCTATTTTTTTAATATTACATGCGTTTATTGACATTTTTTGACATTTCTGTTTTAACACTTTGGTGTAAACAATAAGACAATTCAAAGTAATAATAAAGAATCATCTGAATTGTTGGCTGATTGTTTACCAATGCCCAATTGTCAATTATGTTGATTAAGATTTTTTCAAATGTTTTAAAAGTGACAAGTACTTTTTTCTTTCGAATATCTTTAACTTTTCTTAAGCGTTCAATAAATGGTACCGGGTGATCAGGATATGTGCAAAAACCACGCCTATGAGGGTGATCTTCAAGGTTACGTAACATCTAGAAATTGGATCAATACAAGAATTAAAAAAACAGAAACTATCTTGTTTAATAAAAAAACAATATTTTTCTAAGTATATGACATAATTTTATTTCGTATATTTTATCAACATTTTCATAAAAATAGACTTCAGTTTTTGCAGTACTTAATCTGCGCATGCGTAAGAACAGTTGCGCGCAGGTTCCATCTTTCTCTCCCGGTTAGCATATCGTCTCACGTACGCAATTCCGAAACGAAGCCACGCAGTTTTCTGTACTCCTATCTTATAACATAAAACAGTAAGTATCAACGAATTGCATCATCCATATACGTTAGATTTAAGTCAATCTCTTTGTTTACACATATAAAGCGCGTAATTCATGAGAAAAATTAAATTTTTTGCAAAGCCGGCATGTGTTAACTGATAATGTCGGCTGTCGTCTAATAGTCTTATAAACGTCCTTTTTATTCTGCGCATTTGTATGAATTTAAGTATTTCATTGTATAGCTTATGATTTGAGTAACAATAAGTTTTTGTTGTACAAGGGTAATTTTATGTGTAACAGTGTACAATTCGAGTCACCTATATGAACTGAAAATCACTGATTTACGCCTTATGTAATACCTAGTCGGTTCAATGCCACACCATTTTCGCCCTATATTATTGTTAAATTAACAGTGTATGATTACTTAACACCTTTTTCAAATTTTTTGTGAATAATGGTATTCCCATTTCCGTGTAATTCTTTTCTTTTAACAGTTTTGCTTAGAAAATCTATCATTAAATAATTCGGTATCCATTTTTCTATTACATATATTAAATATTGCGAAACTGGTTAAATATTTTTCGACAAATGTTGCTATAATTATCTAACGTATTGTTAGTAACTTCTTGTGAATTAGATCTTACTTTTTATTTGTATTATAAACGAAAAATTTGCTGATTGTAAGTCAATTATGTTTGACATATTTTTTTATTGATTATGATATTTGAGTTAAACTACCCTAGATTAGTTATTATATTTAAGTTAAAGATTTCTGCTTCAGAACATTACACGTTTTTAAATATACAGTTTAGAAAAATATATATTTTACAAAATTTAATATTTTTTTTTATTTATCTACAAAAAAATGTATGTATTATTTATACTGAAAGGAAATGAACACTTGTCTTTAATATGAATGTAAAGTATAAATACATATTATTTTTACAAGATTAGAAAATAATTCTATATAACTATTTAATATGTTTGCATAGATCATGGCCCCACCATCATACAGTGAATTAGGCAAAAGTGCTCGTGATTTATTTTCTAGTGGATACCACTTTGGTTTAATCAAGTTAGATGTAAACACAAAAACTAAATCTGGTGTAGAATTCTCTAGTGGTGGGGTATCTAACCAGGATAGTGGCAAAGTATTTGGTACCTTAGAAACTAAATACAAAATTGATGATTATGGATTAAAGTTCAGTGAAAGGTGGAATACAGATAATACGCTTGCTACTGATGTTACTTTTGCTGATAAATTGCTCAAAGGTCTTACCCTTGGTTATGGTTGTACTTTCTCTCCACAAACAGGGTAAAATATTACATCACTTAAACTTATCAATGTTGGATTTCTTATCAATACTTTAGATTTACTTAAAACAAATGATTGTTTCAATACCTTATAAAGTGAAAGTATAATTGTTTTATTATTATAGGAGTAAGACTGGAAAATTAAAGACAGCTTACAAACATGATAATGTATCTGCCAATGCTGATTTTGATCTCAGTCTTTCTGCTGGTCCTTTGGTAAATGCATCAGCTGTTGTAGGATATCAAGGTAAGATCTTTATCTTACAAAGATATACATTATTGATTTATTGTGATCTCTATATTATTAAATACATGTATTTCATTTGTTTTAATTCAGTTCTGTAATATAGAATTATTAATATCTTTTATTTGTTTCTAGTACTGAAATTGAAAAATTAAATATGACTATTGTTCTGATATTTAATATTTTTGATGTATTTGCTTCCATGTGATTCCTAGTAGTCCCACTTGAGTTATCCTCTCTTTTATTCCCAAAGTCTAAAACATCCCAGAAAAAAAAACAATGTAAGGCTGTGGTATGATAAAACAGAACAGATTCAATTCATTAAATTATAGAATGTTATAATTAAATTGTAGGTTGGCTGGCTGGCTATCAAGCTTGTTTTGATACACAAAGAAATAAACTTACAAAGAACAATTTTGCACTTGGTTATACTGCTTCTGACTTCAGCCTTCATGCAGCAGTGTATGTATAACTATTATAAATATTTCTAAAAACAGTAGTATAAAAATTCAGTAAAGTTTTCTTAATTTTTTAATATTTTGTTTTATTTTTCGTTCAGAAATAATGGCTGTGACTTCAATGGCCTCATTTATCATAAGGTAAAACCAGATCTAGAAGGTGCAATTAATCTCGAATGGAATTCAAGCAACAATGTTACACAATTTGGAGTTGCTTCAAAGTATAAACTTGATGAAGGTGCATCTGTCCGAGCTAAGGTCAACTCCAATCTTCAAGTAGGCTTGGGATATCAACAGCAATTGCGTGATGGTAAATTGAAACTTAATGTAGAGAAAGTAATAATAAATATATTACGATTTATTCAAGATGTTACTCTAAAGAATTATCTTTAGTAGAGTAACAATATTGTATCTGCTTTTTTAAGTCATTAAGTTTAATATGAGCAAATGTTTTCAAATAATTTACTCATATGTTTTTTTTTTTGCAAGAGTTGCTTAAGTATTGGACTTACATTATCTTTAATACTTTTAGGTATAACTTTAACACTTTCTACAAATATTGATGGAAAGAACTTTGGCTCTGGTGGACACAAGGTCGGTCTTGCATTAGATCTCCAAGCTTAAATATGAATGACTACAGACACAAAAGGACTTGACTCAATGAAAGGTCATTTTATGATCTTTGTGTCATAAAGGCAGTATCACTACATGCTTCAGATAAAGTATTGCCTATAACATATAGATAGGTTTATCCCAAAATATATGTCACGAAATATCATGCATCGTTTAAAGGTAGTTAAAGGAGTATTAGTTTAAAATATACACAATTACAAGTATAAACATGATGTGGTAACAGTATCTTGTCATGAACAACACAGTTTACAAATTCTTGAATGAAATAGAAATTTATTATTCTTTCCTCGGTAATTCTCTTACATTTGATATGGTGCAGTCTGTTACCAGTTCCTGTTGAACACACAGTCTAATAAAATCAAAGATTAATTACTCTAAACATAATTAAGAAAAATGTAGACATGAAATAATGTTGATTACAAATACATAAAGAGATAAATTAGAAGGAAAATGTGTTTAAACTTTTATGGAAGTATATTTTTCAACTCAGTAATAAATGTTATTTAGTTATGAAATAATTGTAAGATCTGTGGTTAATTTTGAAATAAGACAGTATACTGCACATATGTTTTTGTAGCTACACTAATAGTATTAATGACTGAAAATATTGTAAAAAACCTGCACTTGATATTATGCTAAATAAATAGCTACGTACAGGGACTTGGGATTAAATAATGTCAAATGTTAAGTATGCTCAGTTTTCATTTTTAAAATGAAACAATATTCATTCCTGCCTACATAATTAATGTGAAGCAATACTGCCAGTGTGGCTACTTTTTAGGATTGAACCTATTGTGAAATACATATTTAATTACAAAGATAATATTCCAATAACTTAAAGTCTGGCGTCTTATATGAATATTTCACGTTTTTAAAATAGTATATTATAATAAATACTTTTAGTTACAAATAATTCCACAATCTTGTTTTATGTAGCAAGCTTATAATGCATAAGAGGTTTGTACTCATACTATTTTATTCTCCTATACATCAACAATTGTTAAGCATTGAGAAAATCTGATTTAAGCTTTCGTTAGTTCATAAAATAAAGAAAATTTCATTTTATGTGCAGTGTGAATGCTTTATTTACAAGAGAAAATTACAGTATTCCCTTAGCTGGAATATGCTTCGTGTGAACTTCATAACAATCGTAGATCAGTGTTGAACAAATGATTTTTTCAAGTGTGTTTTGTTAATAAAATTTATTTCCACATTTCATATCTATTTTATTTTTGAGTTTTCATAAATAATAAACTAACTATAACGGCAGAACCTAAATTATAAAATGCTTTACAAATTCTTTTGATATTTGGATTTCTATTATGAAAAATCAGAATTTATTTATTCATCATATAAAAATTGTTTCCATGCGTATTAACAAAAATTAACGAGCATGTTAAGTATTACAATACTCGTAATGCATAAGCTTCACTGTAGAATTAGAACAATTCTTATTGCCTCCAAATTTTTAATTGTGTATGTATCAAATATTCATCTAATGTTTATATTTCGTTTTGTATGTTTATTTAGTATTTAAAAAATTTATATTAATGCACCATCTGATCTTCCATTGCTTTTGCTATCCATTCAGGTTCAGTTTGAGCGATTTTTTCTATTATTTGGTTTACTTGGTAGCAAAGGGATTGTATTTGTTTATCCCACGTTGGCAAAGTTTCACGAGCTGTACAAACAAATAGAATATTGATGAAAAATATTTGTATTAAAAATATAAGATTCGCTTAATTTGTTTCTTTAAACTTACTTTCAAAATGTACAATAGAATCGATTTGATCGATGTAACCGTTCATTCGACCCTCTGTGATCATTTGGCTAGCGATTTTTTCTGCTTTCGTTGGAGGAATTTCTAACAGAGCACCCAATTCGTCAAAAGTTATATTATTGTATAATTTACTAGCGGATAATAAGTTATGTTCTATAACGGCACGGTCAAGAATAGTTGATCCCAATCCATCGATTGTACATGCTTTCTGATGAGGTTGTAATAAGGCTTCAAACTCTTGTAATTCAGAACGTCGTATAATCCGATCCAAATACATTTTTTCAAGAATTGAATAAGCAGGAAGTTGTTGACAACGTTCATCTTTAAATAAGGTAGCTAACATACGACTTCTTTGTTGACCTAATATTGATAAAAGGTTCGTATAATGTTCTTAGTAATTAAAGGATACAAAACAAATGTAAATATTTACCTGCAGAAGCTAGTACTGTACAAATTAGTGCATTCCTAAGGGCAGTCATACGTTCATCTTCGTGTATAATGGATCTGTATGACAATTCATTATATCTTTGAGCTGCTTCAATAAACTTTCTTCTATAATCTAATACTCTTGCATAGCAAACTTTGTAGTAAATTTGTAGTTGTTCATTTTTTGATTCAGCCTAGAAAAACAAAATAAAATATTAGTAAAAGTATTGAAAAATACAATATTACTATATTCAAACAGAAAAATTTAGTTATTTGATTACTTCTTCTACATACTTGTAAAAGAGATGCCCTATTGATAAATGCTTCAGCCTGCACTGGATCATCATCTTCTAAGTATAGCCGTGCAATTTTAAGGTAAGTTTCAAGCTTGTAATCAACTGTGTATTGTCTGTAAATAAAAATTATAGTTATTAAACTGAACAATTTGCAATTTCTGGTAATAAAATAGCATGTAATAAAGGTTTTTATACTTACTTCTGTCCTGTTTCTAATGGTATTCCAACTAAAACATTTGCTGCTTCTCTCCAATTTTGATTCCGTTCATAAATTTCTGCTAAATGTTGTCTTATACTAGCAACTTGCTCTTCAAATGAAATTACTCTTGGTTGTATCTAAAAGATTAGTAAAAAAGAACGTTGTTATAAATCAATTTATAAATAATAACAACTATAACTTATTCATACTTTATATGAATAAGTAAAAATATACCTTGTCTAATGTGTAATGTGAAACAGCCTTTGATATCTCATCAGGTAAAAATAATAAACGATTACTGACATCAGTTAGAACTTGTCTTGAGATCACCAAACTTACATATTCATTTACAACTGTAAAATAAAATGATTTTTTTATTACTACACAAACATAAAAATATTATTATGTTTTAGAATAAAAATTAGAATGATCTAAAAATTGTAAAAATGATATTATAAATACATAAGGGGGTTTATAATAAACGTGAATATAACTATGTAAACAACCTCAAAGATATGATGTTTAATTTAATAAATCAGTATGTACACTGAAACAAGTATGTACATAAAACATACAATACTTCAATGTATATATGTTTATAAGTTCTTATCGCTACACAAGTAGTTAAAAAACGTATTTATATACATCATAACGAAGGACATATCGAAAGAAAAATAACATACTTGCTTCAATGAATATCTTCAAAGCATCAACCAATTCCTCGCCGGACGACAACAGTATTGAGTCCAAAATCGCTCGATACCTGTAAGTACCACCGTTTGTATGGAATATTCCAAAAACATACTTTTGATCCTACTTTACAGGCTTACTTTTCTGCTTGATCTTTATGAGAGCCACCGGAATACGCTAAATTCGTGAGCTGTTGACGTACAGAAGCTGCCGTCACCACCATCTTTTCTACATGAATGACCAAAAATGACTTTTGCGCCTATTACGATCATGAACTATGAAAGCTAGTCACTAGAAAAATATTATAAAACTGTAAAATTAAATAATGAAAACTTTCATTGAATATTATAAGAATGAAAACAAATTGTTATAATAATAACATATAAGATACTGAATTTCTTTATTTATTAATAAAATATACATATTTGTACTGTTAAAAGTAACCAATGTGATAATAACATTTGTGTTACGTACTTTCTTATAATGCGTTGTGCATTATATCTTATAAAGCCAAACTTTATTTACTTGAAAACATATAATATAATCATATAATTATTAAAATTAAATATTTCCATAGAAACA